CTCTTCCACCATAAAATGAAGGTGATAATTCATGTTCAACATTCAACACACACTCAAGACAAAGTGCTGGGCTCTGGGTTAGGTGATGAGAAATTAAAAAAAAAAAATGAAAGAGAGACAAAAAAGAAATAGGAAGGGAGGAAAGAAGGAAGGAAGGAAGACAGGCAGGCTCCTGCCTTGGGGAATCTAGTCCAGAAAACATCATCTCTGTTTTAAGTAGGATGACTGAGGATAGGGCTGGAAGACTTTCAAATAAAGAAAACAAATTTTTATAAATTCTTTGAAATCACGAGCAAAAGTTCACATAGATTTAAGAAACTTTTATATAGTGGGAAATTCCTAGAGTGATAGACTGTACTGTTCTCCACTTATATTAAAATAAGATATCGCTCCAGGATTCTGAATTTAGCAATTCAGTTGGCATACATGCCTCTTGCCACACTCATAAAGGCTTTTAATGTGGAATAACGTAACATATAGCTCATCTCTTCTATGGTTGGATGCGTTATTTATAATAACTAACTTTGTACCATCTTCATGTGTGGAAGAAGCAATAATAGGAGCTATCCATTTTTTTGTCCACAGGAAACAAGACGGTATTTATTCTGCATAGTGCCATTTACATATCACCCCTTCTGCCAATGATTTGAATTGTTTAGCAATAGTTCTTATTTATCTCAACACACTCCCAACTGGGAGATGATGCCTGTTCAAAATGAATTAACCTGAAAGCTCATCTGGAAATACTGAGAAGTTAGGTGCATCCTGCTTCAGTGAAGATATGTGGGGTAAAACTGAAAGACCACAATGTCTGTCCCTAATTCATTCATCTACAAAGTGGAAATGATCATACTGATGTGAATAAACCTGAAAAAAAATCGGAGGTAAGTTTAACTATTTGCCTAGTAGATGGTAAAGCTCGTAAGAATTCTCCATGATTCACTTTGCCCTGGCATCATGAGGAACTTTGGATCCACAGAATGAAAGAACCCCCACCATATGTTTTGTTCTGAGAAAGGGTCTGCATATTTACTCACTGTGTTTACTAACACTAATTCCTTGGCAGTTTCCAAAGCTCCTTTATGAAAAAATTACAGGAATCTCTGCATTTGGGCTCCTCTTTCTCCCAACAATCATGAGGCTGGAAGCCACACTGGGTCACATAAGGGACAATCCAGACACTTCTGGAGGAATTTCTGTACTTGGAGTTCAAAGGAGATCCCCTGCTTGAGAATGAACCTCAGTGGCAGAGGGAATGTTCTGTGGGAACCCAACTGTTAAAGGTCCAGCTCATTTCAAACGCAGATGTAGTGCTTACAGAAGGGATTGAGAAACTGCTAAGGACTTGAGGAACTTCGAAGAGAGCGCAGGAGTCAGGTGAAATATTAAGCACAAAACAAATGATCTGAATACTGAATATAGATACAAATCATAGAGTACTGGAATAATTCATTATTACTAGGGAAACCTAAGAGGTATTTACAGAGACATTTAAGCATCTGCGCTGAGACAAGGATGATGAAAGAACTGGGGTTCGCTGGGCAGAGGACACCACAGGGAGAAGAATGAGATAAGCATAGTTACAGGGGGACCAAAACAAAAGCAAGTTTGGCCATTTGGGTGAGGGGTAGGGTTCCGAAGAGGACAAAGTGGAAGAGTAATGAGGTAAAAGCCACATTTCACCTCCAAGATAAGTTACTTGAAATTTCCTCTGCTAGTTATGGTCTACCATTTAGTTCTACCAAGAAGTGATCTAAGCAAGGTTGCTCCTTTCTTAAGCGACGGATCTGTCCATTTTACCAAAATGGAATGGAGTTGGAGGGAAATGAAGCTATGACCAACCCCCAACCGAGGATGGGCTTGTTCATTTGTGAGGTTTGATGTTTCACTGGATTCCAATGATTACGAAATCACTGTGATAGTTGACGTCAGACCCTGTAGGCTCAAGAGGAAGCGGAATTTCAGATTATCTGCGAGAAATTCCAAATGTCCAGTACAATAGGATTCACAGCTGCTCTAGCAAATCCGAACCCTGGAACTGCACACCGGCATCACAGTAACTGAGACACTGTCTCCCGTTTGTGGGTCTTCACCGAATTTCGCTTCTCATTTCTTTAATGAGAAAAAGATTCCTTCCACTTGTTTGTCTCACACCGTTTCAGATTTATACCGCCAGATAAATTATTTCAATCAATAAAACGGATTATCCTTTTTGTTTTCCTCTGATCTTTAGCATCTGAGCTCTGAAGTCATCCCATATTAACCTGGTATATCGATTTTGTCCTTCTAAGTGACAGCCTGTCTTTCCTTCTGTCCTCACCCGCTGCTCGTCCTAAGGGTAAGTCCTGACATCCCACAGCGTTACCCCGCCTGTTCCCGCTTCTCCCGGTACTTGTATCACGCCCAGAAACTCTCTCCGCCCCCCCGCCGCCCCAGCCCACCCGTCCGCCCTCCGATGACCAAAGGATAAATATCTGCAGGACCCAGGCAGCAGGGGGAGGTCTTCAGACAACTGCGCTTCTAAACGTCCCCCTCCCCACTGCAGCCAGAACTCGCGCTGCTCGAGACACCCACAGACTCGCTTTGGGACCCGGGGATGGGGCGTTTGGCGCGTCCCTGGCCCCGCCCTCCCTCCCGGCTTCCTGAATCGCAGTCTCTGTTCTCCCTACAGCCCCCCGGGCCTAAGGCCCCGCCCACACCTCGTTCCCGCTCCGCCTTCGCCTCGCGTCACGGTCTCTCGCGCTCCCAGGTCCCGAGGCCCCGCCCCTGACCCCGCCTCCGTCCTGCTCCCGCCCCGCCCATTCGTGGCCTCCCCACCCACCCCCTCCCGGGCCTGAGGCCCCGCCCCGGCCCCGCCCCCGTCTCGTTCCCGCCCCGCCCCCGGCCCGCATCGCTGTCTCTCGCCCTCCCCAGGCCGCACGGCCGGAGCTGGCACGGAGGAGCGGCGGCCGCGGCGGCATCGCGGCAGCGTCGCGGCCTGGGGACTCCAGCGCTCCGCTGGACTCAGCGCCCGAGAAAGCGCCCATCGCGCGCGGATCTGCCTTCCGCGGTGCGGGGCTGCCTGGAGCGTCCCGCGATCCCCCAGGGCGGGCGTGTCCTCGCGGCGCGGGGCGGGGGACAAGCGTGGGGCCGCAGCCTGTTGGAGCGCGGGGGGTGCCGTGCTCGGGGCGCGGGGAGCCTTGCGGGGGGCGGCGCGGCCAGGCTTCCTGTGCGGAGCAGTTTTCTGCAACTCTGCACCTCCTCCTCCTGGGCCCAGCGCAGCCGGGAGACCCTGTCCACATCTGCGGAAGGTAAGCGGACTTGGCCATTTAGGGGTCGTTGTCCCCAAACCACAGCCAGAGGTCGAGGCTGGGGAGCGAAGGCCGGGGGCGGCACGTTCGTAGGTTCGAGGAGGCGAACGAAAAAAAATGCAACAGGCGGGGCGGTTCAGGAAACTCCAGCGTTGATGTTTCCTACGGAGAGGAGACTTGTCCAGGACCGAAACTTGGTTAGTTCTTCAAAACCGAAGACGGGCAAGGCGACGCTGCACCTTAGTCTGGGTCTGAGCTCCCTCTGGTGGCCTCTTGTGAGGATGGAAGCCGAGGCCGCAGGTGAGGTCGGAGCGCCGCTTGCTTGCTCCCACGCGTGGCCATCATTTCCCCTTTGAGAAACGTGACTGGTCGCGGTAGTTTCCCATACAAGGTGCCTTTTGATCCCATAAAGCGAATCCCTTAACCGGAATCAGAAAAGGTCTTTTCAACCTCTGCTCTTTGTCCCTGATTTCTTTGCGACCAAATCAACAAGAATGATAGCAGGAATCTCATCTTTGTTTAACCGCCCTTGAATAAAAACACGTTAAAGGAGTAAAGCAAGCCACAGTTAAAATAAATGCTGCAGGAAAGTTGCATTTGTAGCTACTTGTCATCTGCCACCATTCATTGTTATCCTAATCTGTCCATTTAAAAGTGTAAGAAAAAAAAAAAGGATCACTTGAGGTAACTTAGATTGTATTCAATTACAGATTTTCTTGTGATTCTAAAATTTCTGTCAAGAGATTGTAGAACATGTAAGTCATCAGTTCATGTCCACTCCCAGCATATCCGTAGCCTCAGAGAATTTCTTTTTGTTTTTCCTCCAGAAAGGAGTGTCATGAAAAAGGAACAGAAAAGAACCATCCCTCTTGGTGAATTGGGAGTTTTCTCTCCCAGTTGGTGGCTACTTCATGATTGGAAAAGAAGTACCTAGGTGGCTGAAGAGATTAGATTTTTATAGTTGTACAGATGAAGCTGATAAAAGAAGACATGAAAATGCTTTCTCTGGGTCGTAATGGGTGATGAGTAAGTAAACCTGAACAAGACAGATTTGGAATGAGGGTAGAAATTTTGATTTTTTAAAGACAAGTAGGACTTCGTAACACTTGTTGAGGATGTTCTTTTCCCAAAAATGGAAGAAGAAAAAATTTTCAAAGCAAAAGTGTAAAAAGTGGAAGGAGATAACAACCAAGTCGACTTCAAGAATTTCAGTACATCATCAGCTCCTTTGGGCAAACGGGCACAAGCATCGTACATGTGGGTGATTTTATCACTAGAGATGGTTTCCTACCCTAGGAACGACTTTTTAATTCGGATTCTGGAGTGTTTACTCTTTTTCTTTCTTTCTTTCTTTCTTTTTTTTTTTTTTTTTACACTGTGTGTTTTGACTCTTCATGTTAGATAGATTTGTGTAAATGAAGTAAATCCTGAATTTATAGTATGTTTGACTATACCACTGTTTGCTATGTGATACAGAAACATACAGGTTTTAACATTCCTTGAAGTTTTATTGGAAGCAGATCTGTGTCAGGGACACAGACAGTATAAGTTTTGTCTTTTTGGCAACCCAGCTTGCTTTGAATGAACCGAGTGTCAGCTGGATTTCACAGTATACATGATTTATAGTCTTTGTGTTATCAAGGCCTTAAATGTATGTTTTATTCCAGGCAGAGGGAAATACATTGAGCACTGTTTTTGACATGTCTGCCTAAGGAAAGAACTCCCCGATGGATCATGGCGTTAATGTTTACAGGACATTTCTTATTTTTAGCATTAGTGATGTTTGCTTTCTCTACTTTTGAGGAATCTGTGAGCAATTACTCTGACTGGGCAGTTTTCACAGATGATATAGATCAGTTTAAGACACAGAAAGTGCAAGATTTCGAACCCCATCAAAAGCTGAAAAAAAGTGTGCTTCATCCAAGTTTGTATTTCGATGCTGGAGAAATCCGGGCAATGAGACAGAAGTCCCGTACCAGCCATTTGCATCTCTTTAGAGCTATCAGAAGTGCAGTCACAGTTATGCTGTCCAACCCCACATACTACCTACCTCCACCCAAGCATGCTGATTTTGCTTCCAAGTGGAATGAGATTTATGGTAACAATCTGCCTCCTTTAGCATTGTACTGTTTGTTATGTCCAGAAGACAAAGTTGCCTTTGAGTTTGTCTTGGAATATATGGACAGGATGGTTGGCTACAAAGACTGGCTAGTTGAAAATGCACCAGGGGACGAGGTTCCCGTTGGCCATTCCTTAACAGGTTTTGCCACTGCCTTTGACTTTTTGTATAACCTACTGGATGATCATCGAAGACAAAAATACCTGGAAAAAATATGGGCCGTTACAGAGGAAATGTATGAGTATTCCAAGGTCCGTTCATGGGGCAAACAACTTCTCCATAATCACCAGGCTACTAACATGATAGCGTTACTCACCGGGGCTTTGGTAACTGGGGTAGATAAAGGATCTAAAGCAAATATATGGAAACAGGTTGTAGTAGATGTGATGGAAAAGACGATGTTTCTGTTGAATCACATTGTCGATGGTTCTTTGGATGAAGGTGTGGCCTATGGAAGCTACACGGCTAAATCAGTCACACAGTATGTTTTTTTAGCCCAGCGTCATTTCAACATCAACAACTTGGATAATAACTGGTTAAGAATGCACTTTTGGTTCTATTATGCCACCCTTTTACCAGGCTTCCAAAGAACTGTGGGTATAGCAGATTCTAATTATAATTGGTTTTATGGTCCAGAGAGCCAGTTAGTGTTTTTGGATAAGTTTATCTTGAAGAATGGAGCTGGGAATTGGTTAGCTCAGCAAATTAGAAGGCACCGACCTAAAGATGGACCAATGGTCCCCTCCACTGCCCAGAGGTGGAGTACTCTTCACACCGAGTTCATCTGGTATGATCCCCAGCTCACCCCACAGCCTCCTGCTGAATATGGTACTGCAAAAATGCACACATTCCCTAACTGGGGTGTTGTCACCTATGGGGCTGGGTTGCCAAATACACAGACCAATACGTTTGTGTCTTTTAAATCTGGGAAGCTAGGGGGGCGAGCCGTGTATGACATAGTTCACTTTCAGCCATACTCCTGGATTGATGGGTGGAGAAGCTTTAACCCAGGACACGAACATCCAGATCAGAACTCATTTACTTTCGCCCCCAACGGGCAAGTATTTGTTTCTGAAGCTCTCTATGGACCCAAACTGAGCCACCTTAACAACGTACTGGTGTTTGCTCCGTCCCCCACAAGCCAGTGTAATAAGCCCTGGGAAGGTCAGCTGGGAGAATGTGCACAGTGGCTTAAGTGGACCGGTGAGGAGGCTGGTGATGCGGCAGGAGAGATCATTACTGCCTCTCAACATGGAGAAATGATATTTGTGAGTGGGGAAGCAGTGTCTGCTTACTCTTCAGCAATGAAGCTGAAAAGTGTGTATCGTGCTTTGCTCCTCTTAAATTCTCAGACTTTGCTAGTTGTCGATCACGTTGAGAGGCAAGACAGTTCCCCAATAAAATCTGTCAGTGCCTTCTTTCATAATCTGGACATTGATTTTAAGTACATCCCGTATAGGTTTCTGAACAGGTACAATGGCGCCATGATGGATGTGTGGGACGCACACTACAGAATGTTCTGGTTTGATCATCGTGGCAGCAGTCCCACTGCTAGCATCCAGGAAGCCGAGCAAGCTGCTGAATTTAAGAAACGGTGGACTCAGTTCGTTAATGTCACATTTCAGATGGAATCCGCAATCACAAGGATTGCATATGTCTTTTATGGACCATATGTCAATGTTTCCAGCTGCAGATTTATTGATAATTCCAATTCTGGACTTCAGATTTCTCTCAATGTCAATAATACTGAGCACGTTGTGTCCATTGTAACTGACTACCATAACTTGAAGACGAGATTCGATTACCTGGGTTTTGGTGGCTTTGCCAATGTGGCTGATCAGGGCCAAATAACCCGATTTGGTTTGGGCACTCAAGCAATAGCAAAGCCCGTAAGACAGGATAGGGCTATTTTCCCCTTTGGATTTAAATTTAATATAGCAGTTGGGTTGATTTTGTGCATTAGCTTGGTGATTTTGACCTTTCAATGGCGGTTTTACCTTTCTTTTAGAAAGCTAATGCGGTGGATCTTAATCCTTGTCATTGCCTTGTGGTTTATTGAGCTGCTGGACGTGTGGAGCACTTGCACTCAGCCCCTTTGTGCAAAGTGGGCAAGGACGGAGGCCGAGGCAAGCTCGAAGTCTTCGTCTTCCCAGGGGCACCGCCTCGATCTTCCTGACGTTGTCATTACCTCACTTCCTGGTTCAGGAGCTGAAATTCTCAAGCAACTTTTTTTCAACAGTAGTGATTTTCTCTACATCAGAGTTCCTACAACCTACATTGAAATTCCTAAAACTGAATTTGAAATTGACTCATTTGTAGATGCCTGTGAATGGAAGGCATCAGATATCCACAGTGTGCATTTCCGTTTACTCCGAGGCTGGTTGCAGTCCTTAGTTCAAGACACAAAACTGCATTTACAAAATATCCATCTGCATGAACCCAGTAGGGGTAAACTGGCCCAATATTTTACAGCAAATAAGGACAAAAAAAGAAAATTGAAAAGGAGAGAATCTTTGCCGGAACAAAGAAGTAGAATGAAAGGCACCTTTGATAGAGATGCTGAATATATTAGGGCTTTGAGGAGACACCTGGTCTATTACCCAAGCGCACGTCCTGTGCTCAGCTTAAGCAGCGGGAGCTGGACCTTAAAGCTTCGTTTTTTTCAAGAAGTTTTAGGAGCTTCTATGAGGGCATTGTACATAGTAAGGGACCCGCGGGCATGGATTTATTCAATGCTGTACAGTAGTAAACCAAGTCTCTACTCTTTGAAAAATGTACCAGAGCACTTAGCTAAATTGTTTAAAATAGAGGGAGGTAAAGGCAAATGCAACTTAAATTCAGGCTATGCTTTCGAGTATGAATCGTTGAGGAGAGAATTATCAAAACCCAAGTCAGATGCAGTCTCCCTGTTGTCCCATTTGTGGCTGGCAAACACAGCCGCAGCCCTGAGAATAAATACAGATTTGCTGCCCACCAGCTACCAGCTGATCAAGTTTGAAGATATCGTACATTTTCCTCAGAAAACCACTGAAAGGATTTTTGCCTTTCTTGGAATACCTTTGTCTCCTGCTAGTTTAAACCAAATATTATTCGCCACCTCCACAAACCTTTTCTATCTTCCCTATGAAGGGGAAATATCACCAACTAATACTAATGTTTGGAAACAAAACTTGCCTAGAGATGAAATTAAGCTGATTGAGAACATCTGCTGGACACTGATGGAGCGTCTAGGATACCCAAAGTTTATGGACTAAATGCTGCAGGTCAGCAGAAATTTGCACTAATCCTTTGCAGCCCGGTTTGTGGATGTGAAGAGTTTGTTTATTCTTGTACTTTGTGTGTGTGTGCGCGTGCGCAAACGTGTTCAGTTTGTTACTTGCACAGAGATTATTTTAAAACTAGGCACCGTATTTGGCCTAGGAGGATTTATTTTTATGTCACTACTTTCCTTGCCTTTGTTTCTGAATTTTTTTTTTTTTTTTTTTTCTGCTGAAATGTTCCTGCTAGAGGCATGGATGAGGTTATATGATGGCGGTCAGGGGAGGTAAGAAGATTTTACAGGTCTTTGTCCAGCCATCTCCCTCATCTGTAACTGTGCTGATCTATCGTGGAACCTCAAATACTGCTAAAGGCCTTTCAATTGCTGCTTTGCCCAAGCATCTCTTGCTTTCAAGATGGACTACAAAAGTTCCTTATCTTTTTTAAAAGATCTTCTAACACATTTATCTTGCACAAAAAAAAAAAAAAAAAAAAAAAATGTTTTTTTTCCTGTGTATAGTGTTCAGTGATATCACTGGGGAAATGGTGAGAGCTCCTATCAGAACTATAGAATTCCTTCTGGGAAATACAGATAAAAATACAGAATGAACATTTTTTTCAGGTCCAAAACAGTGATCTGAAAAGCCTCAAGTTTTTTACTTAGAAATAATAAGGAGTCAGTCTTTGAACAGTCTGGGTGCCAAGAGCTGGTAGAGTATTTTCAACTTGCTTGTCTGTTTAAAACTCTTCTCTTTCTTGCCTCCTTGAAGCTACAGCTGGTCCCATCCCACCACTCACACCCTGTCCTTTCCATCACTGTCATGCAAAACAATCCATTATTACGAATGGTTGAAGTCCCCACATTTGTGGGAACTTTTTTTTTTTCCCTGACGATTAATTTTGCATTAAAGCCTGACACTTAGAATCCGATTTCTTTTTGTGGAATTACCACTGTATGACTCAGAGAGAGCAACGCTGCTGCCGCCAGTGTTTTTTTAGACTGGAAACAGAATTGGAATACTGCCCGACTTACCCTGCATCCCTTTGAATGAGTTTACAGACCACTAGTGTCTGCAAAAGTTAACGGCAAATGTGGGAGATGATGTCAGAGGCATCTGTTTCCTTTACCGTCCGCATCTTATCATAAATGTAGTCGTCATGAAATGTGCTTCATTTTATTTTGGTAGGCTCTGAAATCAAAATGTCCTGCCATTAGAAGCCAGTGGAGTAATTAGAACGCATTGGATGAAAACCATGAGGCAATGTCGAGACCTGATGAAAATCTCTGTAGAGATTGCAGTCTTCCTGACATTTCAAACTGTAGTTTCCCCAAGCTCTCCAACACGTGGGAGTCTCATTCTGACCGAGATAAAGGCGGTTCTTTCTCGGTAGTTTGTTATTATGTCAAAATGTGTCTCCAGAGTGATAAAGCTGTGGCTACGTTACGTTCCAGCGACACCTAACTTGGCTGTCATTTTTCTTCTGTGCTAGTGTGAATGCAGACTTCTCCTCCTCCCCTAGATCTGCTTCCTTCCCACCACTCTCCCTGCCTTGTCTCTGCAATGTCAAAATGAATGAAATCCTGTTGTATTAATATAGGTTGAGAGGACAGCTGGAGAGTGGATTCTACACAGGTATTCTCAAGGAAGGTTATTCTAACCTATCTCAGGGTTATCAACAAGCAGGTAAAATTGCTACATGGATGGTAACACTCTTTCCATTATTGGTCATAGTCTCAGCATTTGCTTTTAATGCCCACGACGTGTGATCTCAAATCAGATCAAATAGAAAGGCTTTGAGTTGGCAGTAATAGCAGGTCTGATGAAGGTAGGAATTGCACAGGTGTGCAGAACCTGTGCCACTGCCTTTTAATATTGCAGGAACACCCACCAACCCCCCCCCCCACCTGCCCTGGGGAAGGAGAGAACCCGGTGGAGTATGTGGAAGGGTTGGAGGAGAGGTGGAGGAAACGAAGAAGACTATTCGTGTGAATGAGCGTGGGAACGTTTACTGAGAGCTAAAGGAAGGGGCATATTTATCAAAGTGATCTTCACAGGGAGTCCTAACTTTCAGCCTCACATGGCAATGCCAACATGAAGTCCCCTGGCACTGTACTCACCCACCCCCACCCCAAAGGAAAGTCTGCTGCAAGAGACCCCTATTTGCAGATTCCCCCGTTGAGGAAACATTATGAGTGAGGGATGACCCAGCCGTTGGATCTGTACACAGATGTTCATGCTTGGGACCCTTTGCTTTATCATCATTTCCTGAGGTGACTTAACTCCCAGACCATCCGGGTCCTCTGTCCTTCGACTGTCCGCTTCAGAAAAATTGAAATAGCCTCCACACTTAATATTCTTCTTACCATCTTTAAGGGGATGATTGTCACTATGTGACACTTCTAAAGGAAACACCTGTCCTCTCTAAAATTAACTGCTTTATTAACTTCCTCAAGCCTAGGCCTAATTGGGATTAAAAACTGTTATTAAAATAATAGAATTTAAGTCTTGAAATTAAAAAAAAAAAGGTTTTGCTGACAGGAGTAACAGATGCAGTGGTAATAATATGGTTCTCAGTAGTTTGAAAGAATGCAAATTACTCACTTAGGATGAGAGAATAAGGCCATATCCAGAATTGGGTTGATGGTCCTGAAATATTGGAGAGGCTAGGAAGTGGGAAACTCTCTTCAGGAAAAGCAAGATGAATTTATGAGTATGCTTAAATTTAATTGATAGAAACCTAGAGAGGCACAAGTTTTAAGCAAATGACAAGAAAATGTACATATTAGGCAAGGTCTTAAAAAAAAAATACTAGATCTAGACCCCAAATATTAGTCCTCTGATTGACTGTCTTTTTAAGCCAATAGAGAAGAATGAGTAAATGCCTGATAAGAATGGGATGTTAAACTCCCAGGCAACGGCAGAAGACTCATCACAAAATCTTCAGTCCCGTTCCACCCACACGAGTGCATCTTAAAAATTTTCCTTTTGTGGCAGTGTTACCCCTCTGCCACTTACTTTTGATTAACATTATCAGCACTTTTGGGTGTATCCTTAAAGATCCAGCCAATCTTGCTATGTAAAGGATATCCAGTTATCTGTGAGTAGACATTAGCAATGGTTTTAAAATCACTGCGTTTGATTGGCTTGATTAGCTGATGATAATTAGATAACAATCCACTGATTAATTTAGGAAAAATGTAAATAGAAGGCAATACATAAATACCATTTCCAGAGGCAAAGATGCCTAATATAGGATATGTCAAGGAATTTAATATGTGGGCTATTTACAGCTTATTTAAGTGTTAGCTAAAGCATGTCTAATATATATAAAAATGTCTGCTAAGGCAGTTTCTTCCATTATCTGACTAGTGTCATTATTCCCTTCATGTTGGCAGAAAAATTCAAGAACTAAATGACTGAATATTCTAAGAACTAAATGACTGAATTCTTGCACAAATGGTGATAGGAACTTCAAACAATACCTTCTGACATTCTCTAACTTGTAGATGTTTGAGCTATAATTTACATGAGCTTGTGTTATATTTAGTCCACATAATGTATACGTATTAATTCTGTTTCCAAAGATCGGTTCAGCTAAGGCTTCCAAACCGGAGAGCGTTTCGTTTTCGTTTTTGTTTTTCTTCCACACTTACTCCGTTCTTCAGTGAAGAAAAGATAGAGTGAGAATCATAAACTAGATTATTGCAACTGTATGTATAACAAGACTCCACTATTAATAAATAAAAAGCTAAAAGCAACTTGGCTATGGTTGGGATAATTTTGTAATAGCTCTTTTCAGATCTCTGGGCAACCCTGAGGATTTTATGTGCAGCGGAGAAGGCAGGGACTTGAAATGGGGTGGGGGGGGTGCACACTGAATACTGACATTCAGCCTCAGAACTTCAGCCACAAAACTTGATTCGTTAAGTGATGAGCTACCCTCTTTCCCCCTAACTTAATCCCAGTTCTGTCTCTGACTTGGACTCATTTCAGTCTTCTGCGTACATCATCCCACTTACTAAATGGCAAGAGCTTCCCTGTACTATGCACCTGTGCTTGACGTCTGCCCCTTCTGCCATTGTAAGACCTTCATGCTGCGTGATGTGTTGCTCATGAGGAAGGTTACTTGAGACATTCTCAGTTTGGTGCATGGGACTGGCACAATGAAGGCTTGCTTCATTTTTTTTTTTTTTTTTTAAAGAGAAGGATCTATAGAGAATTAGTCTCCATGTGCTGCACATTGAACCATAAGGTTTTTCTATGGCTCGTTACAATCCTCACAACTCTATACAGTACTTATTTTACCAATAAATTTGAAACCCCTATTACCGCTATAGGAAATACATTTTTGTAAGGGAATTTTTAGTGCATTTACAATTCATCAGTTCATTTATTCACTATACTTTTGGGGTATCTACTGTTGAGATACTAGTGTGAGGGAAGAACAGAAAAACCAGTTGGCTGACCCTGCTGTGTGAGGAATTAACAGTCTTCCCAGACTTCAAAGCTAATAGGAATTCATCGAGAAGCAGAGAAGGGGGGGCATACCAGTCAGTGATTACCAACCAAGGAGGGACACCAAAAACTGTTGTCTTTCGCAGTAGACCTGGTTTGTTTATTTCTGAAATGGTGGTTGTGAAGGAAGAGAGTCATTTATTGAGTTAGAGGAAGTTATGCTTGGTAAACTTGGATGGAGATCACCACCTATTTTTTTCTTGATTAGGTTTTGGCTCTTGTTGTCATAGGACATCCCATTAATGAGTAGCTTTTCCAAAAGAGCACTGCAAATAGAACAACACCAACATTCCCACTCACTCAGCTGCCCCAACACTACTCACAACAAAGAAATCTGGTTGTAGTTGAGTATCAAGAAATGCTCTGAAGAGAAAAGAATCCATGAGTACGGTCTGACTTGTGTGTTTACAGGTCATTGCTAGTAATGACAGAAAGAGAACACATGTCTTACATCCAGAGTCCAGCTGGCCAATAGCATC